GAATTTTGGGAATGATGAGGGCAACAAATGTATAGATGTGCTGTACACACTTGATCTATGTATTGTGATGAATTGTATGAGCCCCAATAAATTGATTAAAAAAAAAACTTATCTCAGTCTCTTCAAAGTGTTTTTAAAAAGGGGTCCAAATAGTCATATCCTCAAGGGACTCAAATTGAGTTCCTCTTAAAATTTTCTTGAGTTTTGGAAACCAAAAAATGTCTTGAAGGGGCAGGACAGGGCCCCACGGTGAATGGGGTAGGGTTTCCCAACCAAATTCTTGTATGACCCAAACCAAAACCCCCAACTCACAGCCTCAAGTTGATGCCAACTCAAAGTGACCCGCTAGGGCAGGTAGAACTGTGCCTGTGTGTTCCTGACAGCTGTAACTCTTTCCTGGAATAGAAAGGCCCCTCCTTCTCCCACAGAGCCGTTGGTGGTTCTGAACTGCTGAACTTGCGGTCAGCAGCCCACTGTGTAACTATTGCGTTACCAGGGCTCCTTCCTCTTGCTAGTCTCAAAAAAATTAGCTCATTAACTGTTCTGAAAGGAGAAAAAAATGATCAAAGCATCTAATTCCTCTAAGCATCTATCCTAAATTTTTCTGCCACCAGGGCATTTTTCAAGTTGATTAGAACGTCATGATGATCCTCTATGAGCATTTTTGGGTCATTTGAAGAAATCGATCAAGATTACACTTTTGGAATCTAGATAGTTTCCATAATTTTCTGAGCTGACCTCTCTGTCTTGAATGGAATTGGCCCAGGACTTCCAATTTGGAGCCACTGTTGATTGGCTTTCTCTTACAAAGGCACCTAATAGAAGGGAAAGAAGTGCATCACCTACTTGTCTGCAGTCCTCCCTGATCGCGGAGACATGCTTAGATGCCGTCTCTTTGAAGCAGACCCAAGCATGACCGAGCCGGAACTAGCAGCCACACATTTTAGCTTGCTTTGTTTAAATCAATCTTTTCTAAGTTTTACTAGTGAAGAGGGGTGAGAATACTATTCCAACAGAGGAATAAATAGTATTATTTTAGTGAAATAAGCTTGGATTGTCAGAGAGCTAATAGGCAGACTAAACAGATGTACCAAAATGAAGGGAAATGATGTGACTAATTATGTATTTTTGACTCCATGATCTTTTGTTTGTGTGCTCTTTCCTTCCTAACATTGGCTATAATGTGAAATTTTCAATAGAAATATCATTTTTTATTAATGCCAGACATTTATCAGAGTCAATATGTTGCCTTCAGTGGACTCCTTATTTTAGTATACTTTCATATGTAAAATTACATCGCTCATGCAACACATATCAAGGAGATACACCTATAAAAAAAAGAATGCAAGCAAAGTGAAGAATTGAGATAAAATAATTAAAATAAAATCACTACTTCTTCTGAAGTACGTGTAACATTTTCTCATAATATCATAAATACCTGAATTTTTATGAATGCCTCTTCCAGACCTTTTGTGATATTCTTTTCAAGATTTCCCCAGAAGTTAAATCCATGTGGTTCTAAACCTGGTGTTCTCTCCAGCCATGCCTTAAATAAATGTCATTTCAAGTGAATAGATGATAATACTTAAAAATATGCAAACTACATTATAAAGGATATGAGCTAGAAGCTGTAAATCTTTACAGTTTTGGAAAATGTATGTTAAAAGCATTTACTTATAAATATCTCTCTTGTTTCAATTCCTTCACTTGTGAAATAGCGATTGATCATGTTTCATTTCTAAATCTTTAGGGCAATCATGATTAAAATTTGCTCCCCTTATTCTTTAAAAAATTCAAAATTAGAGGCATCTTATATTTGTTACATTAAGTCTAGGACGATATCTAAATGTAGCTTTATTAAAGTCTTCTGGTGTTTTGGGGTTTTTT